ATATGGTAGATTATCCAAAGCGTGGCTTCGATCAGGAGGAACTCACTTTCATCTTCGGTCTCTGGCTGCTTGGGTGCATCAGTAGCAAGACCTAGAACATCGTCTTCAAGCATAGATACGGTTGGCATCTGATACTTGTCGCAAAGATAGGAATCGGTGACGTCGATATTGTCCAAATACTGAGCCAACCGCCGGAGACGAGACAGACAGATTGAATCGGACGGAGTAGAGGTTTTTGAAAACAGAACATCCGAGGAGCGTAGAACACTCACTATGGGCAGTATACCGGTCAAGAGAGCGGTAAGGCAGTAAAGCGAAGTAGAAAGACAATCAGCAAGGATGCGAGTGGGCGGATTGAATGTCAGGCGACTGAGACCAAAAGGGTCATCCTCGCAGTCCTCATCGCGGCATTCTAGGGAGAAAAGCGCAATTTATCAGCCAGCGAGCTACAAGTTGAGCAGCCTAGCTGTAAGGAGTAGTCATGCGTACAGCTCAAATTATCAATGGCGTAGGTTAAATGGATGTCCAGAAGGGTGGAAAGACCTCATAATGAAACAGTAGCAGCGATGCAATCAAAAGACCTCGATGTACCCTATTGATTGGATAGCAAACTGAAACAAGCTGGGACCAAACGAATTTGACGTGAATCTTTGGGATCGCGTCGAACCGCCGAAGTAAATCATTCGCCGATCTGTACATGTCAGTTTTTTCAGGCGCAGCTTTGTGTAAATTCCTTCGACCGCTACTTAATTAACCATTTGTCTGAAAGTTGTTCTCCGTCACTTGATCTCAAGTCTAGCCCAAGTTTACAAATGGTTACCTTTGAATACAATGGATATACATTGCTCTGGCAAATGAAGGCACAAAGAGGAATAAAAAAGGATGTATCACGGAGAATGGCAAGAGTCAATGGCGATAAAAAAAACTATGCGTTTTCTTGAATGACTGCTGTTCCCAGTGCCGCCGCATGGCGATGCTCCCCACATGGCACGATGGACTGGTTATGTCTGCAAGACTTGACGGATGCGACTCAGGTCATACACTTTAAAGTATTCGACGTAGTCGCTTAACCTTCACGTGCTCCCCCCTTCTTCAGAAGTCAAGACATTAGTCATTATAATGGTTCCGCCGACTCCCTTCTCCCATGTACGCCAACAGTGTAACGCGACTCACCAGCTCAAGTGCATTGATAAAAACATCTTGAATTAAAGACCCACATAAGGTCAGTCAAGAGGGAAATGACTTACCTTTGAAATGATAGACTAGAGAGTTCACGACCTTAGCAAGGCAAGGAACGATTGTCAGAAAGTAGGAATGACGCAACAGCGGCGACATTGCATCGAGGCGTTCGAAGGCATACCAGCCGGCACAAGATTTTAGACTGAAAAGGAGTGATAAATGATTGTTCTCATCTGCCAACAAGCAACAAACTAGGATCCTTCTGACAAAAAAATACGATCAAACCCTTAGATTCCTACATTCAAAGGATCTTGGAGTGAAAAGCCCAACGGATAAAACCTTTCAGAAATAGGGCATTGGAGCACAAGGAAACAATAAGATGATGAACTGATGGAGGCATAACAGGATATTCAGTGAGATTAAGGGAGTGAAATCACCACACCATGTTCAGACGACCCATGCGACTGGTGTCATCCAATCAACCGAACGATTTCGCAGCTCACCGCTGTCCAAAGGTGAGGGGGTAACCGCGACAAATACTTCCTCACAAGCTTATTATTGCATCCATAACGTTCGCAGACTTAAGGAGCAAAATCAACTGTCATAAAACAAACTGAGCATGTCTTAACGCTGTGCAGAACCGGTGATTTCGAAGGCTTAAACAATGAGTCTACGTCAAAAATTAAACCGTTGCCCAGAATCCCTCCAGTGTTATAAATCAAGATAATTGACAATGAAGACCGATCAAAATTAGCACGACCTTGTACCTTATCGAATGCAAAAGATTAGAAGGTCGAGAAGGAGGGTTCGCCTATGTACCTACTCTGCAGCGGCGCTGGTACATTTCCATTACGTTGAATAGCCTCAGAGGAGGGCAAAACGTTCCCCACATGGTAACTCCCATGATTACGAGTGGGAACTAAGAGTCCAAGCCCATTACATTATGTAAAGCATATTTTCATATGTCGGAGTCCCCTGATATGGAGAGAAGATTAACACCAACAAAACAGCCGAGCACTAAAGTTCAAAGATGCCAGGAATGTAAAAAGGACCGGAAGTGCTTCACTAAGCAATTGAATTCTGGAAATGCTAGACATGTGGACTCAGGGTGCATGGTCACCTTCATTTACCAAATCAGTTGGCTATATCGTTACTCAGCTCTCCCTGAGCATGCAAATGAAAATCCGCTACCCGGATATCACTGAGAAGAACAGTCTTCAAGAAAAAAAAACTTCGAGCTTTGCATTCATTCAATCCTCGACCACTTATGCCAGCTGATATCTCATCTGAATCGGAATGACCGCCAAACAATTGAATGAAATCGACTCAGGGGGATGTTTGCGATCCCGAGCAGGCTCTCATAAGACGGTGACTACACCCGACCGCAGACCTCACTTTTTGCTAGCCAATCTAGCGGAGAGAAATGTGCGTAGCTAGTAGTAATCATTGTTGCTTGTAAAAGTAACGATTCAACATACTGCCCTCAACAAAATCCTTCTATGTCAGCGTCTTATTGAAGAAGTTAGCTGGAAGATGAAAATATTGGTCAGTACCGCACTCCATTCAAAACCACATATTGTCACTTAATTTCAGGGAAGGGAGTTTCGACTGAGAAAGGCATACGACTCCAAAATAAAAGAGATCCTGCAAATTATAGACGAAAATTCAGCAAAGTTCATTTTAAGATCCGAATCCGCCCTCTTCACATACTAAGTTTAGCATAGCATTTTCCACCAGTCAAAGGGGGAGTTGGTTTAGGAGGATAAAGGTGGCAGCCCAAGCAGAATTGGTGGAGGGTTTACAAAAACCTTTTGCATTATCTGAGTTGCATAACATCCGTGCTCTAGGTTTTTGAGGTGATGAGGAGTTTAGATTGAATCTGACAATCGAGATATCCGACAAGAATTACTTAAACGAAAGAGAGACACTACAGCTTTGTATGGCTTTGATCCACTCTCCGCACAGCCCTATCAAAGCAAAGCCCTGCAATCAGAATACAGTAAGTAAAGACCTGTACAGACAAGGTTTTAATAAACAAGACTTCCCATGCATTTCATAATTTTTGTGCCTCCATAAAAGTTGTGAAAAAGGAGGGAGGAAGGGAGAGGATAGGGGAGAAAAGGAAAAGTCATGATGTACCATATCGAAGATCGTAGTATGATTCCTTTATTCTGATTGTCTGTTAAGCCCGCAGCCTTGGTAAGAAAACGCAAAACGCGCCACCTCCCTAACACTAGCCCTGCCAATAATGGAAATACCTTCCTACCTTTCGCTCACTCGGAGCACTGGAGTATGGTATGCGTAAAGACAGCAACGATGAATATCGAGGTTCCCGTTATTAAGCCAATTTAGGCCAAAATGACAAGGGACGAAAAACAGTCGTTAATAGGTTTCGAAAAGAGGCAGCCAATGAAAGACATTGGAAAAAACTAATTCCGCATGCCAAATGTACCTACACCTTGATCGCCAAAAGCTGCCAACTAATAAACGCTGGAGATGAATAAAGGACTGGGTAAAGACTTACTCGACCCCAAATGTATGATCCACTTTCACCTTGAGTTCATTTAGTAGATAGCAGACAGTGATCCAATTTAGTGGTGTATCAGGAGACTTTTCTCTACCAAAGTGTTTCACTCGTGAAACATCGTAAACGGCATTCACAGCTGAGTCCAGAGGTGATTCAAGAAGGGAAGATTCATCATTCCAACAGAAGTCAGCGGGTTCCTGAAGTGGGCTTTGAAGACCGAGGAGAATCGTGGCGATATCGAGTTCGCGAAAGCAAACCGCCAGAGAAGGCAGAAGGGGCTAAGAAGGAAATGTTCTTATTAACCTTAACCTCCAATTGTTATGTATTATAGATAATCCCAACTTGGATGGCAATTCACACGTAAGAACCAAATTACAATGGGCCAGAAGAATAGCACGCTAATGAGTTCAAGGGGATCATTACAGAGGTCGGTACTTTCGAGGCGGTCCCAGCTACACTTACCATCACCTTAATAATGATAGCCCTGTCGATAAGGATGAGACCTTTACCTTAGTTTGTAAAATCCTAGATTTCGGTGAATGTTTTGCTGCATACGCACTTGATTTGAACTAAAGGACTTGCGACTTACATCACCCAAAAGAGCATTCAACTTCCTGTTCGCATTCGCACTGG